TTGGAAAATAGCAAGACAGACAGTCTTTGTCTAAGGTCTGCAGGTAAGATGAATGTACTGTGTGAATGAAGTGTGGAAATAGGAGGGAGCCAAGGGAGATAGGAAGACACAGGAGGGAAGAAAACAGTTGTCAGAGATTAAATGGGGAACTGTTTACTTTATACATGGAAATACATTTTCAAAACAAATGAGTATTCTTTGGAGGACACATTGATGCCCGCCACTGGTTGTTTCCATCAGCCATACCATGAGAAAATGTTCAAACGCAAACATCTCCCTGAGCTCTGTTGTTTGAAATATTCTAACCTTGAAACTTGTCTTTCCCTCGTCTTCACCCCACCTTCTACCTCCCCATCTCCCACCACACAAAAACACACTCATAATCTCAATCTGACCCCGTCTCCTTTTCGGTGCTTCGACTCTTTTCAACACTGTTGCTTTTCTATCTTAAATTTAAGTGACAAAAATAACAGTGAACCCAAACAGAATGAATACAAATATTCTATTATCAACACTTTTTATGTCGCCATACAACACCTGCTTTGGAAAACTTTCCAATCATTTAATTCTTCTTGGGGGTGCCAACACTGTTATGTGTGGTTGCAACTTTGCTGCGTGCAACTCACATAAAAAGGGCAGAACAGCAGCCAGACAGTATTTTTTCATAAAAAGATAGAAAGACTTCCATGCATTTTCCATGCTTGGTTAAGATGTGTGAAAAACATTAAAGAGCCTAGCTGAGAAATTCAGATTATAGCAGCAATGAGTTGAAGGTGAGGGAAACAAGCGTCTGTGAGGTGTGAATCGTGTGTGTGACATCCGTGTGATGGCTGGACTTCTACAGAATGCAAAACTCATATTCAGTAAAAATTCTAATAGAATAGGAACTCATTTATTCATTTCTAAATGAATAAAAAGTCAAACTGTCAAATAATTCACATAAAAAAATAGAAGCAAAGTATATTGAGGTGATTTGTCTTTAATATTTTGCCAACATAGTACTGTCACTTCTTTTGTGTGTGACAAACAGAACTAAAGTTGTTGCCCTTTGGGTCAGAGTAAGTTTTGAATCTGATTAAATCACAGAAGTAAATTTTATTTGAAGTCATTTATGAACAGCAGACAAACCTTGACTAACACACAGCTTTGTGTGAGTGTGTCTGGCACATTAAATCGCTTTGCCTCATCTTTCTCCTTCACTGAACACAGAGCAAAAACATCAGATCACCCTCAAAGAAAAAGAACAAACAGACACGTTCACTGTTATTTCGTTTGCACAAATTTCTGGAATGATCTAAAAAAAAAAAAAAGCACCGAGCTTAATAAATCCTTCTGGTGAGTTGATTTTTTTTGTACCAACACCCTTTCCTTTTGTTCCTTATTTTTATTCAATTTGTATGTGAATTAAAGTTCTTGATCTTCATTTGGATCATAATTTCCCTGAATAGTTTTGATTACGCAGAGAAGCAGTCTTAGCACAAAAAGCTTAAATGTTTGTATAAACAGGAAGTGTTTTCCAGTCACACTGACTAAGCCTTTCTTTAAGAGTGACCTCCAGTTTTTCTTTATTAGGATTGATTACCATGAACATTTTACAAGTCACCCCTTTTTGAGACCTCCTCTCTTTTAATATACCAGCCTAATAAGATGATCATTGTTATGTACCCAATTTATTTGTTGATGACCAAACATCAGCTAAACAAATCCTGTGCCATTTTTTCAGGGCAATATCAACAGAATCTGTTACCACGATGAACATCACAGCAAATATGGCAAGGTTCTGCTTGATATACCCCTTCAAGCTGTAAATCTACCCTCACAGATATGTTAGAATAGTTTCGTGCTCTCACTTAATAGGGCTTCACGAACTCTCAGCCCACACTAAAAGCATGCTCTCACATTCAGTGATTTCTGGATGCCAACATCTATAAATCAGAGCCATAATAACCTGCCAAAAGCTTCTAAGTATTGGATCCAGTGTGTCTATGGGGATAACACTCCCAAAACTTAAACACAATTCTCCCTACTTAGAGTTTTCTTTAACTTATACACCACAGGAGAATAGATCATATGAAGAAATGTTAAATGATTAAAGCGTATCCTAACAAATTGGAAGTGACACAGTGGTGAGCTATCTTATCTTTCCCTGTCCCAGTCTGTCCTTTGAGACGTTCTCTTTTCCGCCTGTCCCCTTTTGTAGTTTCATATCATCATATGGATCACATTACACCTTCATTTTCAGATAAACAAAAAGCATATTATCCATTTCGATCAAATCAATCAACCCATTTTGTGCTCATAGTTTTCTTCTAATTGAAATTCTCCTTCTCTTACAACGGTTTTCCTCCACAATGCATTTATTAACTATAAGAACTTCTCTCTTGTCTTGAGCTCTTGGCTTTGTAGGATTGGTGACATAGTGTTATGATGTACACTGAGCAATGGCACTCTGCTGACAAGCAATGGCAGCAGTTATTATCTGAGAGAAGCACAAGGTACTTTGTTTTAATGAGCTGCCACACAGTTTGAGTTCTCCTCCACCTGTGATATGAGTTCTCTCTTGCATCTCTTTTTTTCATCCAAGAACTGATGATTACATGTGGCTGCCCGGCCTTTTTATTTATTTTATGCACATGCTCTCTTTTTTCATTATAAAAATATAGAGTTTTATTTTTACCATCACTTAGTAAATCAAACCACGCAGCAGAGGTTTAGAACTTGTCAGCTACAGTTAATTTCTGTGAGTTGGTTTAAGTGAAAAGCATTACTTCTACAGTAGAATTTAAAGTTCACTGATCTTAAGTTCTTAACTGTATTAAAGGGGATATGCGCTCATTTGCAAGTCCATATTTTATTCTGTTATCCTTACTAGTGTAGTTTCGCATATATTGCAAATCAAAAGTAATCTATATCTATTTCTCATGCTGCATGCTAAGCAGCCCATCATTTAAGCGACTGCCTGAAACAGACTACATTAGTTTAGGCTCTTTCAAGACTGCGTTCTTAAACCCCAACTTTTATCTAAGTGGGCAATTTCCTACGCCTGCAGCAAAGTCAGGGGGCAAACAGTAACCAGGAGAATATCCTCCTATTCCACTACTGTTTCTCAAATCTACTATATGATATTATAAATTATATTATATTAAAAGACAATCTGGTTAGTAGTACTTCCTGCCATCCATTGGGGGACCCAGGAGCTTTGTGGGTGGAGTTTGCATGTTCTCCCTGTGTCTGGATGGTTCTCTCCGGGTTCTCCGGCTTCCTCCCACCATCCAAAAACCTGCATGTTAGGTTGATTGGACATTCTAAATTGCCCTTAGGAGTGAGTGTGAGTGTGTGTGGTTGTTTGTCTTTGTGTGTCTCTGTGTGGCCCTGTGATGGACTGGCAGACTATCCAGGGTGTACCCCCCCCTCTCACCCATTGAATACTGGGATAGGCTCCAGTCCCCCCGCGACCCCATTAGGGAATAAGCGGTTACGAAGATGGATGGATATTAAAAACTGCTGCAGTGTATCATGTAGAAAGAGGGAATATAATGGTACTTGTGACATGTTTGAGTGTGTGTGTGTATGTGTGTGTGTGTGTGGGAGCTTTTCTTTTTACACATCCTATACATGTACCTGTGACCACACATCCTACCTGTTAGACTTGTGAATTAAGTGACCTTGTCTATTTTGGCCCACATTATAAGGACTGTGTTACTGAGACGTTCCAGTAATGCACTCTAATCCTCTAACACAATGACCTCAATCCCTTAAATCTGTCAACAGGGAAGCTGATGCTCCAGATTAAAAATCCAGCTGTGATGATACCGAGGGACTCTGCTCCTTTCTTATTCATGAACTCAAATATTATTTACCGTTTAAATACAAGTAGTATAGTTCTGTCAATTATTTCAATGCATTTCAAATGACTGTTGCCAAATGTAACTGGATTTAATTGGAATTTACCTTATAATTCACTACTCAATACATGATAAAGTAGAGAGCTGTCCCAGAAATACAATAAAGCCAACTGCCTACAGTAGATTTGAACTGATGTTCTCTTTACACCAATGATTAAGCATTGAATCTGATAGGACAAGTATATTAAAATGTACTGTCTTTTAAAGAAAAGCTGCGTTATATCATTGTTGTCTCACAGCCGTGCAGTGTTTTTTATGTAACCCAAATCCATTCTGTGTCTGAAATGTATTTGAGGGTCTCTGTTTTTTTACAACAGCTCAACAATATAGGTGTTTGAGCAATGATGCACCAAGGGGATGGTTTTGAATCACTGCCTATCTTCAAGATGAGTTTGTTTACTTTTTCCCACTATTGCTGGAACAATCCATCAACTGGAATGGGGAAATTCATAGAAAACATTGGATCTGTAGGATGTGAAATTTTTATCAAACTTCTAAATCCACCTGATGCTCTTTGCAGAGACTGACAAGATGTGATGTCTTTTCTGCAGCAGAAAAATCCAGTTGTGCATAGTACCAGATATTGTGGGCTTCTTTAAACTGCGGAGTGTGTTTATTCACCGCAGTTCACCAAATGTAAATTTGAACGACTGTCACCTCAGAGAGAGTAGATGGATAAAAAGGGGAAAAATGAGTCATGAGTTATCATATACAAGCATCAGTTTTTCATAAAGTGTTTGGTATTCTTTAGGGACAAGACACACAAATCAAGACGCAACTTTGAGTTCTCTCTTATTCAGAGTAAGGATTTTTCTGTGCAGTAGCACAGAATTCAAACGTTGGCAGGCGCATCAAATACACTGCCTTCAAAATGGCATTTTGCAGAATGATGACATCAGCCTTAAATCACATTCAAGAGTGATTAAACACAATTAAATCCCTTTGATTCATGGCAAAAGCTTTAGCCTATAATCCAAACCATTCACCAGGCTTTCCTGGGAGTCACTGTACTCTTTTTGAAAAACAGTGAATGTATAGAATGCAATTTTGATTAAAACAAATACTTATTTCTTTTTTTATTGATAGAAATTCAGTGGAAAAGGAAATCACATCAGGTATTAAAATAGGAATGTACAATGTTACTTAGAGAAGGCATCATAATGTTTCATTCATACATAAAAAATCTCACTGTTAAATATGTATTGCACCATATCAAGAGAGTAAAATCAGACTTTAACAAGATGTACAAGCAGGCCCCCAGAGCAAGTACAAAGCCCAAGGTAACCTTACGAAACAATGTCAGACTCAGAATCCAAAGACTAGATTTGCATAGCGTGTTTTGCATGTGAAGCTGGGTGTTTGGTGATGACTGTGACAACAGATTGGTCAAAACAGCTTGAAGAGTGTTGCATATTCTCATTCCTATGTAGCAGGTCAAATAAAAGCTGGACTGGAAGAGAATTACCTACAATAAATCTTTCCCATTCTGCATCTATCATAACGATTAACGATAGAGGAGTCATTGCTACAGGGTTGTACAAAAAGGAGATTCAAATCATTTTGTTAAAAATGTATAAATACATGTAACAGTATAAATATATGTCTATTTACAGGAAAAGTTTAGTAGATCTGTAATCAATTTACAAATACAAGAACTCAGCATGAAAGGATCAAAAGTAGCTTTTAACTGTAAAACATGAGCACAGTATCACTTTATGTCGGTTGTTTTAGAGCGGTTATTGTGGGTACACAATTACAAACTGTACTTAAAAACTTGCAATGAGCACACACGTTTTCATACAAAATGTGTTTTACGTTATCTCAATAAATACATCCTCAGCTGTGAATTTTCTTTTACTAAGATATATTTTTCCTCCATTTGACATTAGCAGAGTTTGCATGCTGCACACATTTCTCTGCTTAAATCCCTAACACGAACACCTGTGCCCGGCACCAAAAAGTCAGTGGGGCTCTCCTAACGGTGTCACTACGGGCCATGGCATGTCAGGTAACGGTGTCTTCGGTTCCGCGGGGGCCTGTGGCTGCTGCTTTTGCTGGTTGGCCCAATTTAAGTCCACGCCGTTCTTCTTCAGCGCGTTCAAGTGCTTGATGTCCAGTGTGGTAAAGGTGGTGAACTGGACCTGATTTCTCTTACTGGTGGGGGAATGGAGCGGCTCGTTGCGCTGTGGTCTTGCCAGCAAGGTGGCCGAACGGTTGGCCATGGGGTTGATTGCCTTTGCTTGAAACTGGTGCTGCTGGGAGCTGGTTCGGCTGCGGCCGAGGGTGGCAGTCCGTTCTGGGACCGCGGGGCCGCTCACCGTGGGCAGAGTGCTGTCCAGGCTGCAGTTGCCCATGGAATCTATGGAATGATGGGATTCCAGAGGGCGATGAGGCTCGCGCTTTAGAGTTGAGGCTGGAGCTGGGGCTCCGGCGGCACTTGGTCCAGGAGAGCTGCGATTACCACTCCCCAGCCACACCCAGTCGTGCTTGTGATCCTTTGCGTTTGCACTGGGTTGTGAGCCCTTCTGCACAGGCGTCTTATGATTCCGAAAACAGAGATTATATGAAGCACAGTTGATCAAAAAGGCCAAGAGCGCTATACAGGAAACCCCGACCAAGGAATACATGCCAATTTCCAGGTCTGTCATGGCCTTGAATGTCCTAATGAGGTCACTTTCAATTACTTTGGGTGTTTTAGATTTAGGAGACGCCTTCTTGGGAATGTCGTTATTAGGAAGCAAATTTGAATTATCTTGTATGTTTCCATAACTTTTCTTACGCCCATCTCCCTCAATGGTGATACTCATTGTTGTGCTCAGTTGTGTGTTTAAGCCTGGTTTGATCATAGCTGTAGGGTTTGCCATGCTAATGACACCAAAGGTGGTCCCTCTTATTGCTTTGGTTGTTCCGATATTTACAAAACTAGGCTGCACATGTCCATTAGGAGAAACTGTAGAAGTTGTTGCCTCTGCCTCAACGGACTTCTGATTGGGACCTGTGCTTCTGGGCATTTTTTTATCCAAGACTGTGAAAGCACTCTGTGATGACTCTGTTGTTTTAAAGGCATCCACCACTTCTGTTCCATCCACATTTCTGCTTCTATCAGTAACTCTGCTACTCTGGAATTTGGTTTTGAGAATCCCTGCGCCCACGGCCAACTTGCTTTTCCTCTTGGACTTCTGGCACTCCTCACAGATCCTCAGTTCAACCCTCACCAACTTCCCCCGGGCTTCACCTTCACCCTGCGCAACTACAAATGTGGACTGTGGTGTGCGGCGAACTGTGGCAACCCTCTCATCTGGGGTGGAGACGGTGAGGGAGTAGATACTGCGGTCAAACAGCCCGAGTGGAGTGACAGCCCCGTCACTGAACTGAACCCAGCAACTGACGACTGCTTCCTGTGACAGAAAGAAAGGAAGAAAAAAAAGAGATGTGATAACGACAAATACAGAGTTCATGAAAAGAAAAGCAGGTCAGACAACATGCAGCAAATCAATATACTCCCCATGCCTTCTCCAAAGATATATCCCCATGACTGCTATCAACACTGTATTTCCTATATTAATCTCAGATATTATGAATTAACACATTTATGAATGCAGACTTTTAAAGGAATCCAAATTCTATGAAAACATTTGGAAAGTGTCCCATAATCCCTAAAAAAAAAGAACAAAAAAAGCAGAAACAAGGGTCACATTCACAGCACAATTAGCCAGTCAAATCACATTAATACACAATGACCCATTTCCTGTGGCTAATATGAGCCAGTGGGTCGCCAAAGACCTAACCTATATTTTGAATTTGAAAGCCCAAAGCAAAACGTTAACAGCTTGCCTTTACAGGCGCAATTGGCTGGTCATCTGCACTGGCATGATCCTATCATTTTGTTATTGACGGGGGCAGAGCAGCACTCGTGGTGCACTGGAGGTAATTCGAGCCTTTTTCCAGCAGCTCTGGACCACCTAATCTTTGCTCTATGCCCGCAACAGGGTGCTAGTTTAAAATGGGCAAACTGCCATGGTTAAATTTGTGCATGAGCTTTTAAAATAATCATCCGCTCGCTCTGTCTGTCTCGTCTTGTTGTCTCGCACAGCAAGGTAACTGCACATGACAAGCTGGGCTGTGAGTACAACAGGTTCAGAGAAGCAAAGATAAAATAAAAATGATTCAGCAGTGGCAAGTTAAAGGAAATTATGTGTTTTTTTTTAAATGAACACACATACAATATTACCCCTGTGTTACTATGCAGTTGTTACAATTCAGCCTCTAATAGAGAAAAATGTATCCAAATAGTGGAGACACTTTATTTCTCTCAATTGTTTTTTCATTTGTTTTTTTCAAACCATGAAGGGATTGCACAGCTTTCACTCTCATATGATCCCCACTTTTTCTACAGATGATCAGCTGCAAGATAGGAATCAGAAAGATAATTAGCAACTTTCACTATCCTTTTCTAGATGCTGCTTTTTCCCCACCCTTCTACAAAGATCAAAAGCTCCTATGTCCGGGATTTCCTTCAGCTACCTCAATCATCTCTCCTTTCTCTTCAGAAAACCTTAATTTCTTGCATGAACACTTGCCTTGCTACTTTGAACAAAGAGCTTTGCAGCTATTTTAGCCATGCTATTTTTAGATAAACAGTTGTGTAAAATAACCATCGAAACTGTTATACAACAGAGCCAGCTTACATGTAAGTTTTTCCTGTCTCTTGTGGACTATTGTAACATTGCGTGCTCATTGACCTCACTAAAACCCAGTCCTACTTGTACAAGTTTGGCGAAATCATTTTTCTGTAAGAATCGTGTTGTATTTGCAATCCGGGTCTGTGAACATGGTGGTGTTATCTGTGCTATTGCTTTATTATGCACGCACCCAAGTGAGCCTTTCATGGCAAATGTTAAGTATTCAAAGATGGAAAATGTTGGTGGAGGAATGCCTGTGGCTTGCTTGTAAAAAGCTCTATGCAAACTCAGGAAACCACTTAGGTTAGTATTGCACCATATCAGCTGAATATCACTCTTAAACTAAACGAACAGGTTCCGACATGGAACCCTATGAGCCATAACAGGAACTTAGAGTTCTTTATCTCACCAAGACACTGAACGATGAGTTCTGTGGCTATATCCCTCAAGTTGTGGACTGTGTTTAATCTAAAAGATGTGAAGAACATTTGGTCTGCGTTAAATCTAGGTAAATGGGTAATTTCTCTCAAAATGCCCTTACTGTTGGGAAGACATTGACAGATATTCCCATGACAGTCAAGTTTCCAAAGAAGTGGGTCATTAAAAATAAGAAGTCTAGATTTAGTGGTTTAATATCCTGGCGTCGCTTTATTTTTCAAATGCTTAACTTACAAAAATGTGTGCATCAGCACGATCATATAAACCTACTCAACATAGTACAAAGAATGTTCCGTAGTTCATTTCGACCTGCTCCTCCTTTAGAACCTTTATGCTTTGTGGGAAATCATTTTCCAGGTACTCACCTGTTTGAGCTGTGTGATCACCTCCCGTGTGGTTGCTGTGGCAACGACAGCCCTGTTGCTCCCTGGACTGAGTTGAAGGGACAGAGACAGGCCAGAAACCATGTGCACCCCCAGTTCTGTCACACTCACTTTGTCATCCTGAACCCTGATGCTCCTCTCAGCAAGCACCGATGATGTCACAGGAGACAACACCTGTAAGCAGTTAATCCATGTCCAGAAAACTGCAGGCAAATACACATTTATATTGCTAAAATTACACAAAAACACACACAGAGTCACAGCTTGCGACTCACCTGCACAGTGGTGGTGCCCACCGCTCGTCCTTGTAGTACAATTCCATCCAGCACTCTGGCTATATCAGGATCTGCTACTTTTAGAGAATAGCGCACAAGATTGGTCACATCCACCTTTTAACAAAAAAGAAAAAGGTAATTGAATTCTCCATGATATTGGATACCTAATTCCGTACACCTGTATTGCAGCAGACAGTTTTTAATAGTTTCACTGTAATCATTAAACTTTATTCTATATATTTTTTATTATTACAGTTACAGCCCTTAAGAATGGAAATGTCAAACCCCCATCCTGCTGGCAAGCAGCAGCATGGCAGCTCCTTTTGGGAATAATGAAATGTTTTACCTGCCAGTCAGAGCCCAGGAAGAACTCAACGGACGATCCGCCTGTAAGTGGTTCGGGAAGGAATTCATTGTCCACCTTGGCCACAAAAGGCGTGAGCACTCTCAGTGTGGAGTGCTGGTACTGCAGCATGCAGCCCCTGCCCTTCCTCATCTCCTCTTCTTCCTCGCTGTCCCACGTAGACCTGGCACACCAAAGCAATAAAACATCAGCCACGCACGCATTTTCTCTGGGACATCACAACACTGGCATATGGTAATTGGACTGGAAAAAGTAGGCCCTTCGTGTTTCTGCTTCTACACTTCATGTCTTATTCCAGCAGCCACTGTTTCTCTTGAACACCACAGCCAGGCTGGCAATCTTCCACTGCTGCAAGTATTTTGCAAAGAACAACACGCCAAAAACAGTCAGTTCCTCCGCAAACTCCTGAAAGAAAAATGCCAAAGACCCGCAGCGTTGTTATTGCTGCGACAGAGGCGTACACATCGGTTGGCCTTTTCCTCTAAATGAATTTAAGTTAAGGTAAGTAATGTCCCACAGCGGAGTGGTTTGTTCATTGGTGATAGAGGTTAAGCTGCGAACCCCACAGCAATGATCATATAATTATCATAAGCACAGCTGGTCTCCCACACAGCGCACCTCAGGTGTGCTGGAGGGTTGGTGGAAATGTTTTTACACTGCAGGCAGAAGGCTCCCGTCAAGAGTTACAGTTCAAATAAACATCGTTATTATATAGCCTAAGGTCGCAGCTTAACATGTGATGGGAATGCTGCCTGAATTAAATTAGTGTGACTCAACATCAAACACCAGAGTAACTTTTTGTTGATTCCTGTCATACAACACCTGAAGATTACCAATATTGTAACAGCTTTCTACCTGCAGAGAATAAACTGTTAATTTGTTTTCATTTGCCTTTGGGTCCATTCAAGTAGTTGTCAAAACCATAGCAGCATCCTTTTTTTTTTTTAAATCACTGCTGTTCTATCCTTACCCAAACAGTTCAAGATGTCTATGATGTTTTTTTCTCCTGGTTATTCCACTGTTTCACGAGAGCTTCAGCTTTTTAAGGTTTGCCAGGCTGCTTTTTAGCATGAGTTAACACAGTATTATTGCAGTATTATTGCATAGAACTGGATTGTTTTGTGGAGTTAATTTAGATGAGCATAACAAAATCTTAAACTGGTCAATCAACGAGCGGTTCTCATTAAAAACATGAACATTTTCCAAATTTACACACAATACATCTAAAAACCTATACAATTCAGCTCTTCTGTCAGTTACTTTAAAAATTGGACATTTCTGACCTACTATCTGTTTGCATCTGCTGTTAGATATTGAATTCTGGGCTGATGACAGTCAGTCATTCACCCATTTTTAGTGAGTATTGATTGTGAAAATAATGACTTTACTGTACATATTGAGTGAACTGTCACTAACCTTTTATCTCTGGGGAGGTAGTGATGCTTCTATACTTGCTTATCCTATAATGCATCAAACACAGACGTGCTTCATGCAGTTATGTGATAAAGCCAGAGCATAGAATTAATGCATTACGCCAAAATTACAGTCTCATTTCCTTTAAAGAATTGGATGTTTATACATCTAACAGTGGCTAGAAATGTAACATACATGACTAACGTTTCAGTAAAAGTTTGTATTTTTTCACTATCAACTTATACAGAACTCAATGTTAAATCCCCTTGCTAAAATCATCTCTGTCCCTGTAGAAGCAAAGCTACCCTAAATCACAACATTTGTGTCCCTACCACTATCACAGCTGTTATGAGCTTCTATGTACTCGTCTTTGGTCTGTAGCAAACAAATGTATAATTACTGGAGCCAGAAAATTCGGTTTAGTTTGCCCAGTGTCTAAAAGGCCAAGTCTTGGCATATGTTTCTTCGCATCCTTCTTGCCAGAAAGCATTTCAAGTGTTCTGAGAGGAGATAATAAACATCACAAAGTAGTCAAGCTTTACCATCCCATTTCTTTTCTTTGGCATATGTTACACGCCTGTTATGCAAAAAAGGATTTCTATTGACAAATTGAATTAGGGTGAGGACATAACGTGTCAGGCTGTGATAATCCCAAAGGGAATCTGAGTATTTCTTCATAGAAAATCTTCCTAAGCATTTCCGCCTTTTATGCTGGAAGTTTAAGCAATAGGCAAGCAAATAGTGTTTTTTTTTCTAAGCCACCAATGATTCTATGATTCTATTGTCTTTGTACCAAAGTGATTTAAAATCTATCTAATTAAGTCTTTATAATCCATCCATCCATTTGCTATCCCATACCAGCTGTTATGCACCAGAGGCGGGGTAGTACACCCTAGACCGGTCGCCAATCCACCACTGGGCCACACAACAACACGACCACACACTCACATTCCCTCTTACTCAGTTCTCCATACATGTATATTTTGCACTGTGGGAGGATGCATATCCAGATAGAACCCACACACACACAAGGAAAATATGCAAACTCCCCACAGACAGGCCAGCAGCCTCATGACTCATTTTGTAATGAATTAATGACAACAATCTACTTTTTTAATCAAATTGTAATATGTTAAACAATAATGCAACTTTTTTCAAATATGTATCTCCTGTAATGGTTTACTGTTAATCATAGTCATAGAAGGCATCTGTCTGATTGTGGGTAAAATGGAACAGTCAAGGCAGAGTTGCATTGACCATCAACTGTCAAAAGTCAGGCTGATTCAAGCAAACCAAATTTAACTGAGAGCATAGTTAGCTGAAGATCTTCAAAAGCCCTCACATGGTAGCAGTTCACATATGTACAGTTTCATTTAGTGTTTTTTTGTTTTTTTTGTTTAGCAGAGGGTTGATAAAGCAGTGCACAACAATAGTGTAACATGCATGTTTTGTTTTGCATTTCACAAAAATCTCAAACCTTTGTTCGCATCCCTCATCGCTGTTCACCAGACTTTCTTGTTTGCTGCTGTTTGTCAGTTTAACGGGTCTATTAATGATCTTTCTTCTAGTGTCAACAAAAATGCATTCACTGATGTAGATAAACGGAAGTTTGTGTAGCTTGAATTGTTTGAATTCAGCTCTTAAAAATCTGGAGTTTAATATTCTGACAACTTGACTAAAGCAAAGAAATAAAAAGTTAAATAAATGACCAGTTTTACTCTCCTAGGCTCAATGTCAACAAATTATCTGCAACTTATCTAATCTGTTAGAACTTTTTGAAACCATCTATATGTTAATATCTCAAGTGGGATCCTCATGGAAGTGGTGCCAGAACAGCAGCTAGTCAAGTCTTACTTTCTGTTTCCAGTAGTGACAGGGACCCTCCATCCTTTGATCTGGCTTAGCTCTGGGTCAGCCACATCGATGACCAGGGGTACTCGGGGCATCCAAACACTCATCTCAAGTTGCGCACTCAGGAAACCATAAGTAAAGTTGAGCATCACTCTGTTTTTCCCATTTGTCTCCTTTCCATTTACATAAACATAATTACAGCGCTCTGACACCTAGAAAGATGAGTTTGAAAAAGAGAAACAAAACAGGCTTTAATATTGAGTAAAGTAATATAAAAAAAATCACACAATAAACTCATGGCTGGACTGCTGAAGATGGTGATTTTGGTTAATATTTTTTTCGCTTTATACTGATGGAGTTGACACGTAAAAGTCCAGACAAACTGAATGTGATTGACTTTGGTATGGATAAAGGATAAGTAGAGAAGAGGGGAGAGATCTGGCTGGGAATCTCATTGTGTCTCTTTTCATGTCTTGTAGATTCCCAACTGTTAGTGAGGGTAAATTATCCTCTTTATGGTTGTTCCTGTGGTGGTTTGCTGTAGGTGGAAGAATTGTGGTCCCCACAGGTCAAAGCAACGAGGTGAGACACAGCAGTTTGTGTGTTTTATTCCAGATTAGAAGCCTATCTCCACTGCCACCTCACTTATCTTAACAAACCAATGGTTCCACTGGGGTAATTGGAGGGCACTAGACTGGAGAATAGAGTGGTGAGATGAAGGTGGAAAGGAGGAGGGAAAAAGCAAGGGAAAGGCAGGGGGAGGGAATATCTTAACAGTCAAGCTGAACATCTGTATAAATATACAATAAATAGTAGCTACAGTCTGGGGACCTCTCCTATCACAGGGACACATCCAACAGTCTCTGATGTCACTGGTAGCTCTTCAGGGCAACTGTGCAATATGTTACATTTTGTTTGTGTATGGCAAACTAACAAGAGACATCTTGAAATATTACTAACTATTGCCATGCATGTTTCAGCCAATTAGATATACTTGAAGACAGTTGACGATTTTTTTTTTAAAAGAAAATTCAATATTTGATGCACTTCTGTCTGCTTTTGCTGTCTTCCACTGAGTATGACAGTCCGACAACAGCTGCATGGAACCCATTTAGATAGTGTTGTCCATTGAGCATCATAGGTATGGCCAATTTTACATAATTAACAAATGCATTTAGTAAACTCCTGAAGTTTGAAAGTAGAGGAGAGTTTCTGGTCTACGTAAAAACTAGATAAACAGAGGAGATACAGAAATCTACAATAAAACACATGGTAAAGGGAAAAGTAGGAGCGTTTTCTCTAATGTAGCCGCAAATTTTGCTTTTGGTTGAAACGGCATAATGTGCTGTTAAAGCAGTCTGTTTACTGAAGAATTGGGATCAGGTACTGCATGGAGAAGAGCAGCAGGAAAACTACACATAAAAGTGTGTTGAAAATAGCAATTGGATGTTTAAAATTAAAATATGCATAACAAATGGTTCAATTTGAATTAGTGTACTAGAAAAATGATACAATGGGAAACTGAACTGACAAGAGTTTGGTCCAGAAAAAAGGCAATGTATTAAACAAACCCCAGGGCCAAAATCATTAAAGCCATCATTACTGTAAAGCTCCACAATCATTGCTTCTGCTTTAGTGCTGGAGTAACTTGGAAAATACATTTCCTGTTTATTTGTTTCATTGATGGTGTCTCGTCTCTAATTTAAGGCTTCTGTCTGTTGTGCATTTTTTGTTAGTTTAACTACATCTTTCTGTCAGGGGCAGCATATTTTTTTCCTTGTGTGGCTTCTTTTTTTTCCTCTAAGTGTAGCGCACAAGACACGTCTACAGACTGTGTTGTGAGAGCCTGCCTGCCAGCAGATGCCCCCAACCCAAAAATCAAAATGTAAACTGTAAATGAATCTCAAATTTCAAATATTAATTGATGTACAGTTTTTCTGTTGCTGCATTTTAGCGGAATTGCTGCCGATTCATTCACAAACAGACAGATGGATGCCATGTCTGGAGTGCACTGGTTTGTTTGGGTGTGAGTGACTGATTTAATAGCCCTTAAATTCAATCTCCGCTGAGACAAAATCCTGTAACCTGGTTTTGGGATGCTTAAAATTATCTAAATGCATTACTTTGGCTCTGGTGTATCCAAATATGGTCAAACCCTGTGACAACATGTAAAATGATGAGATAATAGGCCATAATACAAAATCATATGCAGGTACAGAAGTGTATGTATAGCACAATTCCAAAATGAAACCCTCCTGCTTAACACTCTGTAGGCCTCTCTGGCTTGGGTTAAACCAGTTAAAGCATACGGGCAACAGATTTCTGAGGAAGTTATCTTTTATCTGGCTGTAGGTCATTAAAAATCTGCCAACTAAGAGAACGGGGAATTCAGAGATGCCCAAAGTGCCCATCTGGTGCACTTTGTCACTCAACTCAAAGCATTCTTGTGACAAAGCACACACTATGACAAAAGAGGTGACTGCTTTGAGGAAATTTTGGTTCCAAGTAAAGTGTAAGACTGTCTCTGCTGTCCTGTTGCAATCCATTTAACAGGAAAACATCCCACAATAATCCTTTAAAAACCCATCCATCCATTATCATAACCGCTTATTCCCTAATGGGGTCGCGGGGGGGGACTGGAGCCTATCCCAGTGGTCAGTGGGCGAGAGGCGGGGTACACCCTGGACAGTCCGCTAGTCCATTGCAGGGCCACACAGAGACACACAAGGACAAACAACCTGTGAGGCGACAGTGCTAACCACCCCACCAGCCTTTAAAAATCACCTATGGTTTTTGCATCAAATTAAAAACTCTCATGGTTTTGAGTTTTCTTTATGCTCCTTTCTTATTTTTGTTCTAATCACAGTCAAAGCAGATCACAGAATATACAAGTATATTCCCAGAGTCTGCCAACTTCTCAACATGCTAAAAGACACTTATTTTTTTACTCTCTTTAGAACTGCTAAGGTGGTAATTCAGACAAAATGCCAGAACCAGCAGGGGATTTTAAAGAGGAAGCTGAATACAGGGTAAAGCACCTGGATGGTGACCGAGATAGCAAATATAGCTTTACTCTCCAATTTCTCCAGATTTCTCCTTTTCCTTAGTAAGGGACCGGTGAGGAGAATAGTATCGTCTTTGTCAAAATATGTCATAAGCCTACAAAAATCTTGTTGTTACTCTTTAAGCTCCCCCTGCTATATCCTTCTATATTTAAGCTCTTCACTCAAATTACTCACTATAATAAAATAAATTTAAGGCTACATTTAAAAAATATTAAGAAATTAAATTTTCACTCCTTTTATTTGTGGAAATGATTTCTGCATACTCATTGTCCCTGACTTTTATTCCCCATATTATACCAGGACGTTTCTATGGTTTAAATCTCGTCATAACATTAAACATAAACAAACAAATAAAAGTCAACCTTCTGTTTATGTAGTCCACACAAAAAGCAAAAGGTTAAAGGGCATGCATGAATAAAAAAATGTGAAAAGATTCTTCAGAAGAGATCAAATCAGCAAACACATATTCAGTGTTTAAATTCTTGTTTTTCATGCACGTAGAAGTTTTGCACAGCAGGGCACTAAATTCAAAAGTCTGTGAACTGCATATGGATGAATCCCCCATACTAATTCAGCCAATGGCAGTTAAGGCCGTTGAGGTTTAACTTTATCTGTTAGTGGCATTACTCTAATAGCTATTAATAACTACTGATACAGAGAATCATTACAGTGTATCTCACCCTGGCTATTTTCTTACTGTCTTTAGCACTGCGCTGTCAGACAGCCCGCAGTTGGAGTGTTATTAAATAAAAACTATTAGAAATCATGTCAACCTTCTCTGATTTTTTTCTTTTATTCACTTTCTTTCGCTTTTACTACTTGAGTCCATAGTATTGCATATCACATATTACTGTGCTTATTGTTCAAAGTAATGACTCAGATCAAAAGCTTGGAGTCCTATACCACGTTGTGAGTTATACCGTTTAAACGTAATGCTTCGACACAGTCACACACACACACACACACACACACACACACACACACACACACACAGATGAATCAGGAGAATGTGATGGCACAGTGACAGAGGATAGAGAGGCATACATCAGGATGAATCAGCAAAATCACTAGAGTCACAGAAGTCATGGTGTATTGATCAATCATTATTCAAAATGTCATTAAAGTAGTAGTCAGGATTTTGTTTAATTCAGAGACACAATGAGAGAACGCTTTATCAATCCGGGCTGTTAAAGCCTTTGTCTCTCCAGTCTTACCTTGACGACATCCTCATCTGTAGAGCGACAACTGGTGTAGTTGGTTACGTCAGTGAGTGAGCCGTCGTCCTCAACAGCCAGAGTTTTCACGGGAACTGAAACCTTTTTACCCGTCAGCACCGCAGTATTCAAGATATCAGTGGTCTGAGCAGAGACAAAAGCACATAAGTAGCTAAAAATACAAATTTTTATTAGCTGTTATCTACAAACACATAGAAAATGGTAAAAGGTTTAGGAAATCATTGAATGGAATCAGCCAGGTTTGATTTTGGCTTTTATGCACATCTGCATTCCCATTGCTTTTGCAAAGCAACAAAAATATTTCAGTCCTAATTTTCTGAACTGGTTGGACCTGTGAAGGTGTGGATATATGGCATAATAATCGAGGACTGTATCTAGGGAAGAGAAAGTGTTCATTATGTTTTTCAGACATAGGGTTTAATACAAATCAAGCCATTCATATACAGAAATAAATCCTCCTATACCAGTGTTTAGATGGTCCGTGCTTACATAGCACAGTTTCTCTGGGTTCCATAAACCACTTTTCATTGTCTTTCACGGGAAAAGCTCATAAATATGCAGTCTTTTGACTTCCCAATCACAATATGGATATCTGGGGTAATGTGAAGGTTCTGTGTTTTGCTTGGCTGGGGATCAAATCATTTATTTTCCTTTGGAGGACAGCCACTCAACCACCTGAGCCCCTATTCACAGTGACGGGGAGAAAGGCAGTGCCTAGCTACCACAGAGCACTAGGCCGGGCACACAGCACCGACAGGTTGCCAGTGCATCACAGATCAAACGCAGAGACAATCACGTACACTCTCACACATTTAGATTCTCCTGTAATATGCATATTTAAACTGTTACCAAAAAAAAAATCTGCGCACACACACTGTGATCACGGCAGCTACACAGCGGATGTTTGAGCCATCTAGTTGCAATATCACAGTGCAGACAAAAAAGCTGAATTTAATTGAAAGTTACATGGAAACAAGTGCTATTAAAGTTAATCATTTCCTGCTACAAATGCGAATGAAAATCATTTAAAATAAAATAATAATAATTTGTTGGCTTGATATGAATTCTGTATAAAATTTAACTTTTACATGGGTTGAAATTTAACTTTATCAACTTCACTAAGAAAATTCAATATGCATTTACCTGTTTTTGACATTTTCTTTCCACATTTCTGAAATATGACATCAAAAGACACCAAAACAACCCCAAAATCTAAAATTTTAATAAAAACCCCAACATAATAATATGAATATTGGTGGCTTTTGTCCTTCTCATACCATTACAGTAAAATGTAAATACTCTCATTAAAATGCTCTCAATGAAAATAATTAGTGTACATTTTATCTCAGTTTAAGTTAAAAAATCAAAATGGTGTTAAGTTAGATAAAAGGAAGAATGTTTTGGACGAATTAATGTGCAACAGTAACAGACAAAATCATCCAAAATGAATGTGCCATTATTACCATTTATGTTTATTAGGCAAAAATGTAGAATGTAAACTGATTAATATGCAAGCTGGAAATGTTTAATTACTTAATCTCACTGATACAAAGCTCTCACCTGAAATGGATTGGGTATCCAAAGAACTGCCTTATTGGTCACACTTGCATCTATGGTAAGCCTGATTATGTTTCATATTTTCCTGCCCATCATTTGGAAGATTTCTGTCAAACCTGAGCAGCAGCTTTTTTACATGGAGCCTGAATGTTTCCACTTTAACTACGCCTTCAGCACTGGCACACCGATTTTCTCTGTTTGCAAGACTTCTAATAAAATTTCATTTTAAAGGTAGTGGGGATACGTATAAGAAGCTTTGAATGATCAGAGCTTTTTTTTTTCCTTTTTTTTTTCCCTCCCTTCTCTTACCAAAGTACCAGACAGCGTTCAGCAGATGTTCTCTGGCAGCATCACATTTTGAACTCTGCCGGCTTGACAGCTGCTGACCGCAATTCCAAAAGGACATGCTCTAGTTCAGAAAGCAACACTGACCAAAACATAAGCCACTGGATCAGGGCTAGCATAAAATCAGAAAGCAATCACAGCGCTTTACAGTGATGCCAGTACTGCATCGGGCGAACTTCATATCCCATGTTTCTGCAAGATCTGCAGTAATCTGGTTGGCAGTGTTTGGGTAAAGCTCAAGTAGCTGGGTTACTTTTTGAATTTCCACATCGCCAACTGCTGTCTTTGATTTCTGCTCAGCACAAAAAAAACTCTTGAGATTGTTATTCATCATATTTCTAAAAGTCTTCTTTTGGGTTAAATGTGTATATATGACAAATCATACGCAGGGAGAAAAGGCAGCTATCTCACAAAATAGTTAGAATACGATCTCCCAGCCTCATTGTTACCAGCCATTTCACTTCACAGTCTTTCAGTATTCATGCAATAAATGGAAGTTTCCAACGAGATACAACGGCACTACATGAGTTCAGCTCCCAATTGTGTCGCTATATTTGTTTTCCCATGATTTTTTCCACACAGCTAGCGGTAAAAGAAGCTATTCACCTCAACTGAATCTAGTAAATGATTGAGATGAAACACATTTTCTCCCAGATGGCCATTTGATTCATGCTGACTACTGCACCATGAAATAGACTTTTGAATTTCCTGCTAAGCACAAATATAAATCCAACCGCAATTTCTGCAGGTTTGGTCCAAAATAATCCAAGATTAGTAACCAAAGCAGTCGGGAATTAACTCCACAATTTACACATAGGGAAGAGTCTGTATTAATTTAAGAGAGCAGGTATGAATAAATAAACAGTGAACTGACTATTCTACTTGAAAAAACATTTGTTTCTCTGCATATTTCTAAAAAATAAATGCCGTTATGATATGATTGCACAATATTAAATGCTAATTACTGTGTAATCAGAACTTTGGGGGGGATTTTGTTAACGAGGCTGCTGATGAAAGAGTGTTGACACATTTTTTACATAAAAGTTTTATAGACCAAATTATGCCTGTGCATGTAAATCTAAAAATATGTACCACTTTTTTAAACACTGTGGAGGTAAAAACATTTGTCTTTGCTGTATTATGCTAATGTCATACATATATTATTTCATACTTTGTGTTTAAAGAGAAATCTGTACTTATAATACATAAACAAGCAACACATTACTTTGGGACAAACTGATGATGAGGCAAAATATATAGTAAGGTCAATACTCAAGACAATCAGACACCAGAAAATTTCTTAGTTGCCTAATGGCTATCTGGATAAAATCAGATAAAGATAGAGCTCTCACCATCACCAAAGGTGCCAGGCCCACAAAGTCTTTCTGTGTGGTGAAGAGCCGCATATATCCAACGTCCTTAACATTCCCTGGCAGTTCCACACGCCACGAGATGGTTTGACTTTCAATCTGCTCCGGAACATCTTTTGGTACAAAGTCCAACTGTAAAACCTCCAGAAGACCTCTATGAAGAAAAACATTTACAGTTCTTAAACAAGCAAAAACATCTATGCTGAAAAAACTGTGGTATTAAGACATTTTAATGAATCATAATAATGATAATAATCCAACCATAAAGAATATGTATTTTCATCAATAAATACAAACATCCCTAATCCTAGCTAAAGATATGATGTACAAAATGCCCTCTTGTTTGGTGTTAAGACTGTTGGGATAAAACCTTAAAAAGCAAAAAAAAATCTTGAAAGGGATATAAATTGTTCATATCGCCGGTAATCTCCGGGTTCTCCGGCTTTCTCGTAGTGTTGAAAAACCGGTAGTACTTTCAGATCCATAACAAGTGAAGACAATATGCGCAAGGTCTCATTTAAATCAACAGATGGAAGAATAAGGTGTGAGAGTGTTGAGCCAAGTATTCTGGTCAAAGGATTGTCAGAGAAATGACATGGGATGTTATGTGATGGTGGGTAATGTGTAAGCATACCTGTCAGTAAGAACGGATCAAAGGAAAAAGCTGGCGTGAATGGTGCTGAGGCACTTTGAAGTAGAGGAAAAACTTTGCATAGATCCACAAAATAAACCTCAATGTAGCTGAAGCTCATTTAAAAGTGGTCAGATCAGAAGAAGCAAGCTCAATTGCATGTGTGATCATAGAGTTTTTTGGTCCTATCAAAGGACCCGAGGGCCGAACGCTGCACAATCATAACAGGATGAGAACCTTGAAAAAGATATATAATCACATATGCGACACCCTGGATTTCAAGACAATGACCAGAGACACAACGACACTCTTTCACATTAGCTAATGATAAAAAGTGTGAACAAAAGACCAATTACAGTTTTGATGCTTCAGACTGTAGGGAATTCAGATAATTCACTCAGGACTGTATCAGGTAAAACATGTAGACCATATAGACCCAACCAATGTAGCACTCACAGCTATTTCCCCTCAGAGAAGATCGAAATCGGGCTATTTGCTGTGAATGTCGGATGAGAGGAAAGACTGAAAAATGGAAAGAGTAATGCTCTGCTAAATAAGAAATTGTAGGTTTTAAAACTAAAGTATGTTTCTCTTATTTCTGAGTCTTACTGGCTAGTGAACGCAGCCTCATGTCTGCTCCTTCATGTGTTGCACTAGTGGATACAAAGTTTCTTTATATAAAATCAGGAAGTGCAAAACAACCAAATCTTCTGTAGGATTTCAGCACAGTCAATTTTTGTCCTGAACATCATCTGTACTCAGTCATAGTGTTTGTTTTTAGTCTCTGTTGGATTTACTGTAGTTGATTGGACAAGACGAGTTGTCAGATATAAACCAAGCAGTGGTTTATTTAAGCCAATTTTTTATCATAGGTAATGATAAAGAAACATACAGAAGAAGAAAAAAAACATCAGACACAAGTTTTCAGATAAGCAAAGAAAGTTGGTTCACAAACATTTCCAGCTGTACTATCTTTTTGTTGTGCGCTTGCTGGGGGGAAATGTGCTACCCTCCTTTCCCCAAATAGTTGTCACATTCAACAATGTGTGTGATTGTTTCCCAACACGTGATCAGGCGAGAAATAAGGGAGAAAAATTAAAAAAATACCTAGAACTGATGTCTGAGCTACACTTTAATACGGCTCTTGTCTTGTTTTCCTGTGACTAAAATGGACTTGGGCAGATTTAGAATTCATTTAAACGATTTACACTAAATATAATTCCAAAGTGTATCTGAGAGAGGCAGGAGAGAAAAAAGGGGTTTAATGCCCCGATTTCCTGAAAATCCATCTATCATCACCCCAAAGCGCAGTGTTGGGAGTGTGCAATGTGTGTGTGTGTGCACACACACGTGTGCCTGCTTGTCTCATATCTGTGACCCCTGGCGGAAATCTCCGTACAGGGGACGCAACTTGAAATATCTCTGCCTCCTAATCTGCGTTAGTGAACGTGCAAGCACTTAAGCCTGGATAACGTAGCCGTGATTATGGATGATTACAGATATGTGGGTCGGCCGGGCGGCGGGTGGTGTGTATCGGTGTGGGCGGGAGGCTGCTGTGTCTGTCACCACAGTCAGCGTCAGGCAGCCCTGATGGAATCAGTTAGCGTGGGCCCAGTAAAACAGGGAAATAAGAGCTATTAATTTGCCAACCTTTCATTAAACCAAAAGCGGTTGCTTTGATATTTCTTTTTTTTTTTTCAAATTCGATTTGCAGAGCAAAACATTACAGAATCAATATGATACTCTTTGAGACTTAGGCTCACTTTGGCTCTTTCAAGAAAAATAAACATTCTACAATAAGAGAAATTGGAGCAAATGCGTTTCCTTTTTTTTTATTCTTCGTCGTTATTTTCTTTAGTTTTTTCCCTAATCCTCACAGAGGATTATAAGGTCGGTTCTAGATTGGATCAGCGGATGGGATGCTGCAGTGACGCAGGAGAACCGCGTTGCAGAGATCCGATGTCAGGACGATGGTTTTACAGCAAACCGCAAATTAGCGACACTAAATGGGCCGCCGTTATCCTGTTTGATCATGGCTCGGATGGAGAGTTGACAGTTTGATATCCTGACGGCCCTGAAGATGCTCCACGTGCAGCTTCAAGCTCCCAAACGTAGTTAGCAAGCGAGCACAGAAAAACAGAGTTAGGTTTTATAGTTGTGATTAGTTAAAGAGATGCTGTGGAATAGATTTCAGCAGCATTCCATATTAAAAAGACCAAACAGACTGAAAGTGAACCAAATAAACACTTCATTCAGAGTAAATGTATTAAATTTGGCATCTCAGTTTGTTGTAGTTTTGTGGTTTCAAGGAAAACCAAATAAAAGACACACACTTTTGAAAATCAGCTTGATTGGCTGCCGGATCAAATGAAAGTCGACAGTGAAAAATAACAGATGGTTCAATCCACAAAAGATCTGCACAAATAAGATTTTATACAAGAGATTTTATACAAGCAGGGGGTATTTTAAAGCACGCATGGTCATATTCCTGTGGCCTGGGGCTCATTCAGGTTTAAATTAAATGCTCGGCTTGACCTGGAATGATACAACAAGCAGGAATGATTTCAATTCAAAGAGTCACGATTAAGTGTTTTGGGGTTTTTTTTCTTCATTCTTTTATGCTTCTTTACTCTGGTGGCATATTTTGGGTGTTAGTGTGGGTATAAATGGCTGTCTGTGTTATCCCTTTGTAGGACATGTGACCTGCTCAAAATTAAGCCCAACTCTAGTCAAATATTAGCAAGTAAAGATTCCAGCTGAAGCCCTTTATTCTATTTAAATTGATTGCCAAGTCACCGATGTGTAATTATTTTAATCTTTGTGAGATTTCCTTTTAATTCTAACCAAACACACCAGTCAGGTGGGTTATGTTCAAAGCTGTATCATAACCTGACACCCTTACAATCGAGATTTCGCCACCTGAAGAAGTGTGAATATGTTGTGGTTGATCTCATCCTTTCTTTTTAGTGTCACTCAGAGCGTCTAAATGGAGACTTGCATTCCGTTTATGCCAGTCTCTTTCACATTCAAGCTGTAATGTTTATTTAAAACACAGAAATGCGTCTATGTATGAACAGCCTTGACTTAAGTCCCAAGTGTTAGGCATTAACTGTTTGTTGATGAGGCCAGTTGGATCTATATGGCTTACTTTTTTTTTTTTAAAGAACAGAATTGTAATACAGATGTTTAGAAATTCAGAGACCCCCATTTACTTACTGCGTCTCTAATGAGAATAATGAACAGCATAACACATTCCACTATGTCACTGTCATCCATTTTTAAGTTAGCCATTTAACACAACATCATATTTTATTGGAAAATACTCGATCTCTTTCTGTTAAGGAGGCAGAAAAACTCTCATACATGTTATATTACTAAAACCACTAGTGACAGTTAGAACAGATATGACTGTTTTTCTTTGAGCATAAAAGGTAGTTCTGAAATATTCTTACTTCTAACATGATGCTAAACAGCATGTGACGTGGACTGACCTTTTAGCAGTGATAGACACCTTCCTGTGGCAAACTACAGAGACAGTGTTGGGAGTTGCTCCTCTGCCAGGCTCCACCAAGATGTCCCACAGAGCCGAGTCACTGGGCCGAGCGGCGCTGAAGGACAGCCCTGTTTTAACAGCCGCCCTGCAGTCAACACACACACAAAGTACAATTAACACAAGTTGAGACTAAAGAAGGCCTTGTTCTGGGTAGTCTCGTATTTTTACGAGAACACTTAAATCCCATCAACACAGTTTTCAATCTGTTTGTATGTTTTCTGTATAATGTGTTGACAGCAAGTACGCGTGGTGTTGATTTGCTTTTAAGGGAAAGAAAGCCAGCTTCCCTCTCTAATGATGTGTGTTTTTTTGTTTAAGGTGGGTGGCATTCAAACTGGTGAGTTAGAGGGTGAGAATCAGCATCAGTATTTAATTCCTATTATAGAACTGTGAATCAGTTATTTCAGATGTGTGATACAGACACACACCACTCTGATAGGACACTGAGACCCAGTTATTAGTCATGTGACAGGAGCCGGCTGTCTGGCAAATCCAACACTAACCATGGATATTTTTTCATTTCCTCCTGATAAACTGCTGCATCTGTTGGGATTAAAGAACTATTACTTAAGCTTGAAAAGTTATACAACACTGGGGGAAATATTTCTCCCCACACATTTTAAGAGCAAGCATTGACTTTCTTTGCACTTCCCAACACAGACTATGTGTGCTCCCAAAGGAGGGTACTTTTTTTCAAGGTGCAAGAGACAGAAATCCCTCTATGCTCACTCAGAAACACAAGTCAGCTCCAACAGATTTGTATGAAGCATAAAGAAGAAAATAACCAAAGATATGTGTTGAATTATTCCGGCAATCTGTGAATACCAGTGGACTGGAGTAATGTTTAAAGCTTCCACTGTGACAACAGGATGAGTGGGATATTGAAAGACTTGATGGATTATATGAATAAACACAAGAAAACACCACTACATTTTGTTTCCCTGCCTTATCTTATTATTTAACTTTTTTGTTTTAACAACCTGCTGTTGGCCATTTTTGCCAGAGGCTGCAGAATAGAATTATAATTGAGACAAGAAAACTCATGCGCGTGCATACATGTACACACAAATCTAACAATACCTAAAAAAAAAAGGCCAACCGTCATTTCCATAATGTAATATCCAACACTTTGACACTCCTGTCCAAATAATCGCATTTTGAAAATATTGATCTGTAATAACATTACAATTCGTGGCAAAAAGCAATTATAAGAAAGAAAGAAAAAATAGTTAGCAAAGTAACATTCACAAACACAAAGTGAAATTTAGTTTTTAAAGGAAACTTAAAGGAAGACAATTCAAGAATGAATACTTTATACTTTAGAATGAATATGTTCTCCTCTGGGGGGATATGTCTCTGTGAATAAAATAAATTTTTGCCAGAGGCAATATCTCCATGTTTTAATTTGAAAATATAATGAATGTGTACAGCAATAAATATCAAAACAGATTAAAGCAGACCGACCGGAATACAAATTAAATAAAAACATATTCTGGACAAAAGTTGTCCAATTGTTTTTAAATCTCCCTTTCTTTTTCTTTCAGAAAAATTTTGCCTCGTTTTTTTTTTTTTTTTTGCCAAAGACATACATTTGATATCCATCTAGAGATTATTGAAAAAGGTTTTCTATCCGCCTGCACAGCTCAGTGTTAGCAGCTGCTGGCGACTGTCCTTCTCGGGAGCCAAACCTTTCCACCAAGCTCCTGCTGAGTTTGGTGATGCAGTGACTCAACGCTGGGAGCTTCCTGGATCACTGAACTTCTTGTCCACAAGCAGATATCAGCCTCCCTGCAGGGAAACCTCATTCCGGCCACTTCTATCCTTGCTCTTTGTATTTGTCAGTCACCGTCCAGAGTTCATGACCACAGATGGGGACGCAGGGCTGTAATCGACCTTTCACAGAACATCTAGTCATGACTGTATTGCCAAATACATAACCCCAACCCTGTCTGTCTTTTTGATTAAAACTATTAGAGTTAATAGGTTCCTACCTCCGAAGTTTGCTCGAACACGTTTTACTAATGTTGCTCCTGTTAGTTAATGAATGCTACATACCACACACATGTTTAAGGTATGTCAGGTGGCCTTAAAAACTACAGACACATACCTACAGTGTACACGGCTAATCCTGGCAGTCAGCCCACATCATCTACACCCTCAAAGGTTAACCTCTTGATTCAGTTTCAATCAGGGCTGCAGATTATCTGGCCTTACCCTACTGGAGTGGACTCAATCTTGGGCCAAAGAGCAAAGCAAAGCAGGGATTTCTCCCAGGAGGAATCAATCACTTGCCAAGCTCCTCCGAGCAAGCCTTCACTTGGACTTAACTGCTGCACTCAGTTGCCTCTTGTCCAATTTCAGTCTGTATGGGGCAGTAGGTCAGAAATACACATTCTGAAATCACTGACCTGAAAGGAGGATCTTCAGTGTTAAGGTCAGTATGAAGGAATTTTGGGGGATTTTCAGGGAAGGATGCAGGAAATCCTTACAAATAGTCAAAACAACAGCAGATGAAAAAGAAGTTACCGTCTCTCTTTCTCTCTGATTCCATAAAATCTTATTTAATTAGTCTCTACACATCTAGCACAGCTACAGGGAAGTAAGTGGGTTTGTGCCTTTGTGTGAGTTCTGTTTGATATTTGAGCAGAAGGAATACGTTTAGCCATAAGTTTGACCTTTGTGTTTGTCTTTTGGCTTAATTCACATAATGTTGCCACTTCTCTCTATTTGCCTCGATGCTGCAGCAGATTACTGTGTGCTTGCTATGCCCGCGGCTCGATATCACCAAATCATAAGATTAAAGAGGAAATTGTCTTGCTTGTTTTTCAAACAAAGCCATTAAGCGGGGAAAGGATTTCAAGCTCAAACCTCACTGTGAAAGCTGTACAAATCCATTTCTGTAGTAAAATTCCAAATAATCTTTATGTTATGTTTTATGTCATTCAAATCATACGTATTTCATAGTAAAGCTAAGTCAATAGAAAAATCCAGTGAATGATCTTGTACATTTCACTTATGTCCAACAAATATCAGCACAGAAAAAAGTTTGACAACAGATTAAACTGTGTGTTTTACTTTGACAAGGCTGCTTTTATATTAAGTTGGCTTTTACCCAGCAGAGTTTGGAAGATTATTTATTTGTTCCCCCTGCTTCATTAAACAGATGCATTATTTATGAAGTCAAATAACCGCAGAACCTTGTTGAAATGTTCGTGGGATGTTGAGATATGAAAACCAGTGAATCATTTGCCAATTATTTCCCTGTTTATGGAAGAGCGCTCTCCATAACTCCCCCAATAAGAGAGAGGCTGAAGCAGACAGGATATGTCAGAAATTTATGAAGCCAGTGAAGCTGGCAGACAACACCAGTCATTTTAGCACTCATGCATTTTACTGCCTGGCCTTGATGGTGAGCCCAATCAGTATTCAAGAGCCTCAAGTAATCGTTTAAATGCATGGAGCTTATACTTCATGAATATACTGAAATATTCTGCACATGCCAGTGATTTAGCTTTGTTTCTTAAAATGAACATGTTTCAGAAACAATCAATTATCATGTAATTCATCCTAAACGTGTGTGGCACACACGTCTAGAAAGAACCATTTAATGGTTTATAGGAAATAATATTTGAGGTGAAATTCTGGAAGGCCTTTACTAAATTAATTTAAAAAAACAGAAACCCAAAAAATCCTAACTAATATAATTATAAATGTCACATTTAATTATCAAGTATCAGCAATCAAGTTTTCTGTTATGCCAATTTGTAATTAGTTTGTAAGTAATTTTTATTTCTGCAAAAAAAAAGAAAATGTGAATAGTATAAAGCGAGGCCATATCCCAATTCCTTCTCCTTGCCTAACACCTTTACAGAGTTAAGGAAACTATATATTTCGTGATCAAGGGGTTAATGTAATTTAGCAGTTTAACCAGGGTTACTGGGGTCAACTTGACTGTCAGATGACCCGCGTTTTCTGATCCCTGTTTAAAAAGAGGTTCATCAAGTCCGAGTAAGGAAAACTTTTTAATTTGGACCAGATTCTTCTTGAATCACAAGAACCTAGCTTAAACTTTTGGACCCTTACAGACCGACTTTGGAATGTTCTAGCATCTTCTGGCCAGAGGAATATAGAATACTGGAGACACTAAGAACTATTAGCAACCGCTTTAAGAATCCAACATGAAACTCCTGTTATTCCTTTATAATATCACTGGTTTCTTTAATCTCTCTAATCAAAGAGTAAAAAGACTGATGAAAACAGGAAGTCTGACTCCATGTTGTAAAACCACTTTCACGTAATCGCTTTAAAAGCTTGCAAAGCTCCTTGGTATAGACAAACAAAGAAGACATCTTACCGAAGAGTGAAGTTTTCCAAGGTAGACGTGCTGGCCAGAAATATGTAAAAAGTTGCCACGTCTGAGGTCTTCAGGGGTGTGGAAGAAGTTTGGATCACCACAGCCCCACCTAGCCTCAGCCGAAGAAAAGTGGGGTTTCCCTGTGGAGCTTTGAGCAGAGTGACACTTCCGATCCGCCTCATAGGTGTCCCTGATCCCCTGGAGTCTCGCTCTCGTCCCACTCCCACTCGCTGCAGGCTATCCTGGGGAGTGCATTGTCCGGTCTGGTCCCTTCTGCTCTGGAAGTAGACTTCCACAAGCGTTCCCTGAACACCCCTGACTCCTTCAGTTCTTTCGGCTTCTCGGCTGGCGCTCCCAGACCTGCTGGCTGAACTGAACCAGGAAGGTTCTGGCTTCAACTGCGCCACACAGAATCCACCTGGAGACACCAGGCAAGCCCCGCGGACCTCCCTCGTCTCCCAGAAGGCGTAAGCCGTCACACAGTGAGCTCCATCCTTGGCCTTGCCCCCGCTATTTTTTCTTTCGTCACTTCTTCTTAAGTCCATTGCCTCTTGCCAAACAGTGATATTGCTTTCTGTGGGCATATGGAAGAGAATCTTAACGACGGGGGATGAAGAGCGAACCTGACGGCTCAGAATTACGGGTAGAATTCGACGGCCACTGAGAAGCAAATCTGGGGGAATCACAGCATCCACACTAAGGGGGCCGTATGAAGCCTTGATGACTGGCTGGAGAACGCCAGCACCTGGGGTAGCGATGAGGAAGGTCTGAGCCTGAGCTTTAAGGCTTGAGTTCCCTGCGGGCTCTTGGCTGTCCTGTTTCAAAAACACATGGTCTGCGTTGAGGATCTGGAAGCTGATGGTGGGATACACAGGCAGCGGGCTGGAGAATATGCCAGTATCTTCAGAAAGTTTCTGAGTCTCAGCAGCTGAAAGAAAATAAAGCAAATAGAGTTGAGGGAAGAAATTATTATCAACATATGAACTTAATGTGCTGCAACAACCGCTCATATATCATGAGGACAGCTTAAGGTGGAAGGGTTGATAATGGATTACGAACGGAGGGACGACTGTTTGATGACAACGGATGAAGTTGTGTGCCAAAAGGATCAGGCAGAACAGACCATAAGAGTTGGTTATCAATAGGAGCCAAGGGTATTCTCACTTAACCTAAAAGCAATAACTTGATATAGCACAGATGGCTCATGGCCTAATAAGGCTCCTGGGGTTAAAAGAGAAAAACAAATGCATATTAAGAGATGGAGTTTTAAGACCAAATAAAATTTAAAAGACAGACAACGGCAAATTAAACATGTCACTTTAATCTCTTGGACCAAGGCAGAGTAGTAAAGTAAAAAAGAACGCTTTTTTGATGTTCCCTACTTAATGCTGTTTGTCTCCGCTTTAACTTCTACTGGCTACAGAAAACTGTTAAGCAGAAATCATTCTGCATCCTTCTGTATCCTGCAAAGTTCATATGTTTACAAGACTTTGCGGACGTCGAACCCTGACTCAGGCAAAATGTTTGCTTCCCCAAAGCTTAAGTTTGAGCTCATTTGTTTTTCTTTTGTGATTTTCAAATTGCATTTAATAATGTATCTACATGTAAATTTAATTAATTGAAAAAAGAGAATATAACTAAATATATTGGCAAACAAGTTCTGGAGATTAGACTGATTCTTTACATAATTCTACATAATAATTTACAGAATTCTACATAATTTTGCTAAATCCAATGTGTGTTACTTACATGCGATATGATGTTTTTAAGTTAAGAGCAAACAAAAGATAAACCCAAGTAAAATGCACAAATGATCCTTTTTTCCATCAATGTTTATTCTACACTTGGTAATAGAAATCTGTCTATGGGCTGAAAATAGTTTGCACTATGCAGCTTACTATCTCTGTCATCACTTAAGCTTGAACATAAACAGGTCTTTTGAAACCCATGAATGATTTTCTTTTACATTTGGTGCATTGACAGACTCTCAGGCAACACACTTCATCTAATTAGATGCTGGTGATGATCCAGATTTTTGCTTCTGAGCAATTATTTGCTGACAGGAACTAATGGTAAAAACATAATAAAACATCAGAAAACATCTGTTTGTATAAAAAGTTAAAAGTATGCTGGCTTAAGTTTTCCAAAAACTATTCTTTCCTGGCAGATGCTTGCATCGTCTTTAATTTAAGCGCTGTCTGGTTCCTCATTATTCTCCACAAAAAAGCATGATGGATACGTTAGAATGCACCAGGTTGTGAGTTTTTTCTGTCTGAAGTTATCCTTGTAATATCACATCACACACTAAACAGTATACTGCAGGTCAAAACAGTTCTCTTAATGAAAAATACAGAAAGATGACAAGATTCGGACTTTTCGCCTGTGAACTAGAGCTCAGAATATGCTCAGTAGACCCTACAGTCCATCAGAGGATGACCACTGTATTGATCAGATATGAATTTGGCGGGCCATGGTGTGCGATATATTAATCAGTGACCTCGCAAGAGAAAATTCTGAGATATATTCAAATGGCAGCAGTAAATGATAGATCAAACCCAAGGAACGCTGATACATCTGTGACTAGACTGGAAGATAAGACTGAAGACTGCCATGCATATTCATGATTTTCAAGACCAGAGGATATCAAAGGCTGAGCCCTATTACTTTGACACGCACTGGGAGCACAGCTGAGTCCTCCGCCAGCACAAATGCAGCCGTCACACACATGCATGACCACAACCGCACGCATATATGATGCAAAGATGTAAGCCAATCTCAGAGAGTGGTCTTTACATGATAGCTGTATCACACAGAGGCAGCCTACTCTGTGTGGCCTCATGGCTACCAATGCAGGTTATCTTTAAACAACCAGAGGAACAGCTGTGCAACCTCAGTCCCTCTAATCCCAGGGATGAGGCCACCCAATGCACTTTGGAGAGCCTGATGTGGTTCACATTTAGACAAAAGGGATAACAAAATGGGATGATGCCGTTTTTAAAAATAAATAGAGAGAGATGAAGGAACGCCTAGCCCCATGGCCTCACAAATCAATCGAGTGAGGACACCATGAATCAATACGCGTGTGTAAAACTGTGTGCACTCAGACATGTTTACCATTTCTAGACTTGCATCAGCTGTAATGTTCTCTGTGGTTGTTAGACCAAAAAAAAAAAAAACGAAGTAAATCTGCTAAATTCAGATCTCTTGTAAACACAGCTGGACCTACTGCCAGTCCAGATGTTTTCGTTGTATGTTGTTTTCTACTATGCGTCTTCTTAAACGCATCTATTCAAACCAATGAACTACAAAAGAAAAAATGGGTTCACCTCACCTTTGATAGCTGTTAGAACTGCCACAACCACAACTGCAAACAGTGAACGCAGGGAAAAGTTGAGCTTCATTTTTACAGAAGTCGCGGGCTGTGGTGGTCCACTTTGCTCTGAGCCTCAGTGCGCACCGAGCTCTGCTGACCGTGTGCGCACACGCTTGGTAAAAAGCAAACCATTACATCACTTGTTGTCCGGTAAAGTTATTTCCTCTCAATGCAGAGGATGGAGTGGATAAAAAAAAAATAGTAATCCTCATAAATAGTTGTGCTTGAAAAGTTTTCTACGTTTTCTTTACGAGACAACGTCCTTTTTTACTCCGTCTGGGACGCACAGCTGTGGTAGAAACTACAGGACAGAGCCAGACACGACTCTTCCCACGATGGAAATCAGTAAACATGTGCAGTTGGTCAGATTAAATCGGCCCACGTGGGTATAATCGGAGGGGATGTAGGAGGGAGGGGGTCTAGAGCAAATTAAATTCATACAAGGTCGAAGATCAGTAGTCCGACTTAAATTAACAAATTAAGAATAGGCTATATCCAAAGAAAACTAAACATAAACAACAGTGAACATTGAACTTCAAGTTAAATATGCAGACAACGACCTAAGGTTGGTTTAGGAATGGTTTAGGAACCTTTGTTAAGTATACTTAACAAAGGTTTGGGATCATGCAGGATCATGTAGGATCAAACCGGATGTTTGGCAGATAAGTGCAATCTTTGCAGGTCAGAAACTGTATCACAGTATGCCACAGAGCACAGGTTACCAAGCCTCAGAGAAAAACGCTCAAATAAACTTAAGCCTTTCCTACAATTTATAGTTACAGAAGCCTAAATTGTTTTTAACGATTCGAGACTGCTGTGTCTACATCAGTCTGCATCTTTATCTACGGCATTTAAATATTTGACTTTGGTGCACTCGTAGTCAAATATAAAAAAAAAAAAACGGGTAATACATTTTGTGCTTCTCCAAGCCCACAGGCCACATTTAATTTCTCATCACTCTGGCTTATTCTCTTTTCTCTCCCCTTCCATTGCAATTTATGTGTATCGCTACATCTGCCTTGACCTAAAATCTACTACACTCATTATAATGAGGTTGCAGCATGTCCCACAAGCTGGGTGTTGATATCAGGGCCAGTCTTTCCTGGCTCTCCTTGCCTTTCATAAAAAGAATCGAGCCACTGCGTTTCTGCACTGAGACGTGGAATTAAGTGCTGATGAGAGGTTTGTGCCACTGTATGGAGGCTTGGTAATTCTGGTCAGACTTTTTATCACCAATTCACTCCCTTACATTCCTTCAACTATATATTGTCTGCATATAGTACTTTTATAATTATGCCAGTCAAACCCACAGAGCAGAGTGCCTGTTTGTTTTTTTCTTTAAGCTGGCATGAGTGTCAGGTGACAGCATTAAGGTTGCAGGCATCCTTGGTGAGTAGACAATTTCCCACTTGATAGAGAATGATTTGAATAACTGCATGCCTTAAGTGCATCATGAATGGATCTCTAACTGCCTGTAAAAATTTGAAGTTACAGACTGCCATAAAACCTGATTTAACTGTACTCATTGCACTGGCACTTTACTGTGCCAGCCACGACGTGAACTGCATTTTGATGGCTTTGAGTTTTTAATTTGAGCAGTTTGTCCGTGGGTTTTGGCTTGAAGTCACAATTAAAGCTGACAGTGGTAGAGTCCACTGACAGCTGAGTCTGGGAATGTCTCCAGATCTCAGTTGTTGTTCCAGACAAGCAACCTGCTGCTGGTGCTATTAGAGATGACGGAGGGATGGTCACATTCATTTTGTATGGCTCACAAGAGGGGATATAAAGCTGCTGCCAGGTATCTCAAAGGTTTTTTTGGGGTCGTTTATGTAGAAAAGCATGGGTCAAGAGCTTAGATCCTGTATATGATCATTTAATTAACATCAAAAAGCAGTTAAAACAGATTGAAAGCAGGATAAATTACCTTGGTGACTGCTGGCTACCACACGCAGGTCAGGAAATATGTAACCTTTCATCAATAATTTGCTGTGTTTAAGTGGCAGACAACTCACCAATTCTTGTTCTTTTTAGTGTATTTCTCAGGGGGGGAATGTTTGTGTTCCTCCAGGACCGGGACTCAGATTCAGTCTGCAGCTTGCATGCTGCATCACTGTCCAAGCATTTTATGATAACTCTACTACATTATTGATGAGAGTTTTTAATTGGTACTGAGAACTCAAACTATGGATCACAGACAGCAAACGTGAAGAGGGATTTTACTTATATCATACTGAATTGAAAGAAAAGGCAGGAATTCCTATGAGATGACAGTATAATTGAACAGAAAAAAACAGAAATATTAAATCAGATTAAACACAAAACATGTAAGGGAAGGAAGAAATAAATCTTGACTGAAAACGAAGATCTGACTAATTACGATGAAAACCAGTTAGTGTGTCTGAGGAAGACGGGGAATCATACAAAAACAGCATGTGCACCCTGAACACAAGTAAGAAGTGAAAAGGGAAGTAAGATCTGATCAAATCCAGGGTCTTTAAAAAAAAAACTGATGTTACGCAAATTCTATCCGAGCACTGAAGAGAAGTTAGAAACCAGAACTGGGTAAGATTCAGAAAGATTTATTCAAAAGAATATAAAAAAAGAACATTTAAAGGAATGAAAAATATTATTGGTGCTCAATAGTTTCCATTGTAAGTTATTAATTCCAACAAATTACAGAATTATCTTCAAGTAATTAACATATTGTGATGATTGTTGTGATCTATATCCTACTCTGCATTGCGTTGGACCTCATGGGGGTGTGGTGGCTCACAACAATGACTCATACTGTAGCAGGAAGGTATAAAAATCTGTTGCTGCTTTTCTATGTAGAGTTTTAATGTTCTCCTTACATGTGTGGGTCTCACCTGGGCACTTCAACTTTCTCCCACAGGCACATCCTCCAGAGTAGGCATGTAAAGTTACTGTATATTTTTCTATTTTACATTGAAACAAGAAGTTATTGTGAAAAAACATGGTTATTTGCCTCTATTGGCTCTCTGGACAAAGGGAAGGTGGGATTAATAAAATCCAGCTACCCTAAACAGAATTAATAATTAAAATGAATGAATATGTTACCCTTGTCGGTATGGCTATATAAGATAATAATACAATGGAGCACTGCTAACTTTTCAGTGTACTATCATTTTGATGAAAAGGTTAACCGTGTGAATCGGTGTGGTTTTATTAATCATTTGATCAAGGTTGCTCTGTTTAGCAATAACTCACACAATCATCATGTCAGCTCTTTGAACTATGGAGGTTAATGCTGTAATCAGACCTTTTGACATCAGCATTTCAGCATCAATGTGAGCATGTGCTCATCCTTTTTATTCAAAAACGGAAAGTATTACACCAGTTTGATATGCAACATTTTTTATTCAAGAATAAAATAATTCTAAATTAAGATAAGCCCATTCAATCAAATTAATTTCTATTTTTTACCCCATAAATTTTTGACAGAATATAGGTAAAAATCATATGTGTATAAAAGATAGACCAAATAAATTAATTAAGTATATTGATGGATTCAAGCCAGATATATTAGAAAAATCCAACATTCTTTGTTCTCTGTTTAAAGATGTAATTTAGTTGTCAAATTAAAATCTGATTAACAATCTGTGGTAATGACTCTACTCTTAAGTATGAGGCCTCTTATGTTTTACTTTAAACCATGTATACAGGATTTATAAACCAATATGTACCACTGAACTGTGGATGATCAAAGCTGTGACCCGCAAAGACTTTAGCCAGTAGGCTAAACTTTGGATGAACTTTGACCAAGTTCTGACTCCTCTTTGCTCGCTGAGGTCATCCTGCTGATTAATAGATCAGATAACCTTTACTGACAGTAATCCAGCTCAGTGACTGACTGTGAACTACGGCAGTGTTTCATTTGAATAATTCCTCTTATTACTCGACATCGGCTAGATAGTGATAAAGTCATTTTCATCCATCAATCAGACGAGGATTAGCTTAGTGTCATCCTGTCGATTGGGCTGCATCCAAATGGCTGGGATCATCTGCACAGGTTAATATCAAAAAGAGTGGCTCACAATCACCAGGTCAGTGAGAGCCACAGGTATTTAAGAAGTCCTCTCAGTGGAGATCATTGCTAACTGCGTCTGTATCCCCTAATCTCACGGGGGTGCTGCAGTCTAGTCTCCGCACATAAAACTGCCGTTACACCTGTGTAATAGGACGTACATTAAGTTCTGTCTGGTGAGAGAGATAGGCCAGTATTTCAGACACACTTGTGTTGAAGTCTGTGGACTTCTCACGAAAAGACAAATCTCTCAGGTTAAACCTGCTTTGTTCCTTCACACTCCTCTGATGAATCTCTTTTTGAAACAGGGCCAAACATCAGGTTTTTAACCCCTACAGGATGCCTCTGGGAATATATCGACCGAGCAGTGTGTCCTCCCTCCCACAAACAACCTCCCCTCTGGGCACTGTGTTGAACAGTTGAGATGCTTGCCTCCCATCGCCCACTGGGAAACACATTAATGTTGGAGGAGATGGATGAAACTGTTCGGTATCGTCAAGCTCAGTAATTTAGAATTCCTCAAACCTAAGCTGAAAAGGGTTTGATAAAACCTACCGTTCGCAAATGCAGTTTTTTGTTAATAGCCTCAGACCTCCTTGTGGCCAAACAAGAGGAATATGTAGTGTCGCAGTAGACAACCAGAGAAATGGCCAGCCTGGATTAGTGCTGGCCAGGCGTCCAGCTCCCTGAGCATGCCAAACCTTCTTAAGGCTTAAAAGCCTCAGGTGGGGTAAGTAGCTTGTAATGATTTGATAAATACCTGTTTTTCTGGTTAATGCACACTTGTATATTCATGTGACCTGAAGCCAGTTCATACATTTTATCAGAAAAACATATGAAATTTAGCAAAATGTACCAGTGTAGGAATTCCTCAGATATTACCTCCTCCTCCCCAACCACACAAGCGATTATATTCATTCAACATGTTACATTGTCACCTTGGGAAATCACATAGTCAAGTGTTATTTTTATAACGCAAAAAACAGCAAATCCTTTGTGTTTGTCACTTGACTTTATAACCCATCCATCGTTTACCTATACTGCCTATTCCCAGTGGGGTCACGGGGGGGCCTGAGCCTATCCCAACGGACAACGGGTGAGAAACGTGGAACACTCGAAACTGTGATTTCATGCTGCATTCTTAAATCACATGGAGCTAACTATGACTCTTGGTACAAAGTAGAAATGGAGCTTCACCTGTCAGAAATTCCCATTTACAGTTCCCAAGGCTGTTTTTTTTAACCTTTTTATAAAAAACAATTTCATTATTGCAA